CATCGGGGCTGGCAACGCCTCCACTGCCGCCCACTGCCAGCACCGCGTCACCAATGGCCGCCATGTACCGCGCCGCTCCCTGGTGGTCAGTGTACGTCATAGCGAGCGGTTGAACTTCCGATCAATGACTGCCAGAGGGAAAATAAGCATATTAGGTTTTTATTATATAGGATACTTTTAAATATTATCTAAAAATATTTGAGGTACATGATTTTTTTTCAGTAATGCTTAATTTCTTTTGATGAATGCAACCTTTTAAAAGTAAATAGCATTTTTATTCTTAAAATACAAGTAGAATGAATATAAGGGATTTTAATGAATACTTTTGCAAGTGCTGTTTTAAATTTTATACTGAGAAATATTTGAAAAATAAAAATATATAGTGTGTGGACTAAAGTAGGTTTACAGTTTGCATGGAAAATTGTAATAATAAATAATAACCCAAGACCCCTGCCGCTGTGGCTTAGTGGTTGAGTGTCAACCTATGAACCAGGAAGTCATGGTTTAATTCTGGCTCAGGGCACATGCCCGGGTTTCAGGCTCAATCCCCAGTAGGGGGCGTGCAGGAGGCAGCTAATCAATGATTCTCTCATTGATATTTCTATCTCTCCTCCCTTCATCTCTGAAATCAATAAAAATATATTAAAAATGTAACACAAGAATAAACTTGAATACTCACAACTGTAAGCCTACTTTTGCCCCACTCTGTATTTAAATATTTAAGCTCCTCCCACACAGTGTATGTATAAACTGCTTTGCATTTTTCAGAATGTATTTATATTCGTTAACTCATTTGACTTTCACAACATGTTATTTTCTCAAATCATATAAGAAAGCTCCTTTTCACTGAGGTTAAGTGATGAAGAGGGCTTGCTGTTATTTTGTAAATCGGGGACTAGAGCCCGCATTTTGGTGCCTGGTTTGTGTCCTGGTTATTATGTATGTTGCCAGCCAGTGGATATAACCTACCAATTATTTTTTCTAGGAGTTGAGATTGATTTGCACCTGATTTCACTCTTGCTTGGTAATGAGCATTGTGACCAGGTTCAGTTTGGTATAAAGTGTGGACAGAGATGAGCAGAGCGTGCACAGACGGAGGGTGGGGTGGTCTTAAGGTGACGCTCTGTAACCAGTAGTTACCGAGTATCCGTGTGAATAGCCAGGAACAGGGATGGCTTCTTAGCGTTTCCTGCACAAGCATCCACCCATTTCCTTCATATCATGTGTGAAGGAAAATAAGACTTTAAGGCTGTGGGGATTTTGTTTATTAAACTTAATTCAGATTTATTCATATTCAAGGGGAATGTTGTATTTAAAGGTTGCTTTAAAATGGCATAGAGATTATAATGGAAAATAAGCCATTTATGTTTTTAAGAAGGGCACACCCATGAATTTTTCAGAAAACAATCATGCTTCTTATATGCCATTATATCTGTTATGTGTGAGCCTTATTGTATATTAAATGTGGAAATTCGTTAAAGGCACATATCGCTAAGAGTTTTATTTTAATAAGGTCATATATTTTACTACATCCAAACAACCTTCATTTCTGAATGGAACACAGTTCTATGTAGGTCACTGGGTGCTGTGTACTGGCTGTCACAGCTGGGGGGGGGGGGGAG